AAGGTTCAGGGCTTCTTCCTTACAGGCACTGTAGTCAAGGAGTCTTAAAGGGTACAGGCAGCTCTGAACTGTGACTCTTAAGGATATGTTTGAGAAAGTATCTGCAGATTTAGGGTAATGAAATTTGGATATCAGAAGAACTTTAATTCTTATGGAGGCAAATGTTATTTCTGGCGTTACGGAGTATAGGCACTGCACACTAAGTCAATAAAAAGCCTCCGTTTGGCTTCACTGAGTTTTGAATTAAGTCCGCAGAACATTTGATAAACTAAAAATGTTACAGCAAGCTTCTGGTGCTCACCATCGCCTTATGACAATAGGTCCTGGTGGGATCAGGCAAGGGCGTTTCACAAAAGCGATTTGCTATACGTACAAAGAGCAGAAAGCTGCTTCATTCTCTTTGTCGTTTGTTACCATTAATTCGATTTGGGATTGGGAAACATTTTTTACAAGTCAGCATTGTTTTTCTATTGTGTATTTTCTGGTCAGATTTAAATTATGATGAAACCTGGTGTCACATATAATAAAAAGCAGTCACTGCCTGCTGGGAAAATGTCTTAGTACTGGGAATATGCATGAAATACTTGGGAGTACCAAAATGCAGTTGGGTTCATTTTCGTTGCAAGTTGTTTTGTTAGGACACAAGGTGGCAATGACATGGAAACGCTCATTAGATAAAATAGTCTAGAATGTCTTTTGATCAGTTTTCTGCTTCAAATCTGTGCTTGATACAGCTTGGCACCTGGGTATACGTACAGCTATATGTATGACAACATTTGGCATGTTCTGTGGATTGTGCTTGGCAATACCTCTTTGGAGCGATGCATAAGTGCACAACTAAGTATTACTGTTCCCTAAACAGATAGGCAAATTAAGTCAGAGGAACAACCTGCCAGAGGCCACAGCAAAAGAGCTGAGATAAAACCAGAGACAAAACCGGAGACATTTTTGAGCCTAAAATGTATATATGTACAGCTGTAGAGTATAAACTCCTCCTATATCAGTGGCTGCATGTGCAGATGTGCATATACACATGCAGTGTCCTCCCCAACGCTGCAGTAGAGGGAAGGGTCATTTAAGGAACTTGGTGGGTACTTTTAGTTTGCTGGGAAGGCAGGGCTTTCTTCCTTCTCAAAGAATCCATAAAAAAGGGTGTAAAGTTGCCAGAAAGCATCAGCAGACTCTTGTTTTATTGTGGCGTTGGATGTGGCGAGGCTTGTGGTCATTTCTCCAAGTGGTGGTGTCCATCTTCTTGCTCTGTTCTGTGGGCAGAGCTGTCTCTGGTCGGTGGAGCTCGGCTGCTGTGGAGGCGTGCAGCTCCCAGCTCTGCTGTGCGGTTTGTGGGACCCTCAGCAGCTTTTCATCATTTCTGCACTGCGGTGCCGGTGCAGTCTGTGAGCACCCGCCTTGCCCCAGCCTCCCATGCAGCTCTTCTAGACCATTAGTGGTCTGTGAGTGAACTGACCCGAGGTGCATTAGTGCACCAATAAACTTAAAACTCACTAGATGCAAAGTGCTCTCAAATTCACTGGGGAAAAATCAAACAAAACCCCACTGAACAAAAAATAGGAGGAAATATTTTTGCTAGCTTCTTTGTATTAAGATCGACACTGCTGCTATTAAGACCAACAGTGCTTTTATACCCCATGGAGGGGTTTTCAGTTCATGAGATTTGGCTGTATTCTTGTAAAATCCTGGTGTTAATGACTGACTCTGGGTCCATTCCACTGCAAAACAGCCTGAGCCCTGTGAGCTTCGGAGAGCCCCAGTTTACGGATCCTTATCAGGTGCAGCCAACAAAACTACCAGGAAGGTATCCCCCTCAAAATTAAATGGAGTCTGGCAAGAAGAGCAGAGCCCAAGGAAGGGGGGAAGAAAAAAAAAAAAAAAAAATCAATGTACTTGCAGCCTTGAGCTGTGAAGCTGCCTAATAAGTGAACAGCTCATGCAATTTAACTCCCTTCTTCCTGTGTTGCAGTGCTCTTAATTTGGGGGTTCTTTGATCCACCTATTCATAGCTGTGAAGCGAGCAGAATTTAATCAGGCTCTGACAGGGGATGGCTGATTTTAATACCGGCCTCCAAAAAAGAGCTGTCAATCAAGGATGAGCTTTAATACCTTCAACTTGCAGCTCCTTTAAACTTCTGCTGCAGTTGAGTGGTGCTTGGTCGGCTGTGGAGGAGCCAGGCACCTACAAAAGGCACCCGGGGGCTCCTTGGGTAAGCTCAGGGGGAGTCCCTGGGGGCTGCTCCCTGCCCTCTGTAAAGGGGCGGCATGAAACCTCTAATCAAGTTGGCATTTCCTAGCCACATGAGAGGAGAGATTTCCTCTTTGAATAAGGAGCAGCTTTCATAAGTGTGCATCCCAAAAGGCCTGCTGAGCTTTTGTGAGCCAGCAGGCAAGGCAGGTTTGGAGTCGCTTGGATTAAACCTTTCCTTACTGTAGCTGGAACGGGTACAGTGAGGACAAGGGTTACTTTCCATACCTAATTTCAAGTTATTTTAGCTGGGGATGTTAGATAAAATAGTCAATGACTGGCAGGATGATAGAATATGGTTTAATTTCAGATTTACTATCTGCCAACACATGCCATTCAATCAGATAAACACAGGATTTCAACTGTCATCACAATATCTTATGCATACTTAAAAATAGAGCACTTTTTCTCACACCGAGAAGAAATTGAACAGGTTTATATATAGGATGTATACAGTCAGGAGGCTAGAAATTTTGAAATAGCCTGCCGTTTCTAGAGAGATTCCCTATCTTTAAATTAAGGAAATATATTAGAAGTAGTAGAAATTCTCAGGATCGTAGAAGTTTTATCATTGTCAACTGTACGAGAAAGTAAAGGGAATACCTTGAGAAGTTGAACTATACAAAATGGGTAGGAAAATGTCTGTAGTATTTACACCGGAGGGATATGAGACTATAGAGAGAGCAAGATGACTCAGAACTTCTCTGTGTGGGAATGTAATCCCTCCTCTGGTTTATAGGTTCTCGTCCTTGCTTTTGTCTGTCCTGGTTCACATATTGGGCCTATCACTGTAATGCGTGAATATCTGCTTCGCTTGGGAGGTGGAGATAGAAGATGACAATCTAGCATCATCCCAGCACTATCCTAAACCAATTTTCACAATAAATGTAATTTAAGCATTTGCCGTCTAAAGCTTCCCTCCTGAAAACACACAACTTTACTTAGGTGGAAACTCTCATATAGATAAAATGTGGCACCACTTGCCACCGATGCTTTACGTTACAAATTTGTGAGTACACAGATGAGTATGACTTTTTGGCCTGAGCACTTAACCAGTATTTGGGTTCTTTATTATATCCCTTGCAAAGAGTAGCTGATGACACAGTCCAGCATATTTTAAAGGTCTAGCCTGGTTTGTTTATGAGGGATGCACAGAACAGCTTGTTTCTGTGAACATCGTATGAGCAGACAGCAAAAGGCAGTTTTCTTGCTCGCAAATCTGCCAATATGCTTCCCCAGCAAGCAGCGTCCACCCAAGCTCTGCCCTGCTGCTTTCTCTCCTGCTCATAAGCCTCTTTCTTCCTTAACACTCACATAACCTGTACCTTCAGTCTCATATTTCCTACCTAGTTTGCTCTTTCAGGTTTTGTAGTCAGCTTTGATTCAGAGATGTCCTTGTTAGCCACTACTAGCATTTTCCAGCACAACCAATTATTGCCTGCTCTCCTTCCCTTCTGTAGTCTACCAGGCTGCTCCAAAATGAGCTCTAAAATGATGTCCCGAGCTGCTCAGCATAACGGTACCTTTGAAGCCAAGACTTGTACTTTGCTTCGAAGAGCAGGTCTAGCAAAAGGACAGAGTTTTCTACTAAAGATAAGGGAAAGAAGGCATTTTTTTGGAGAGCATTCCTCCCTCCGGTTTCCCTGCAGGGGGGAGGCTGGTGCTTTTTCTAGCATGTGCAAAGGAGCTCTTGAGGAGCTCTGCTATGACAGATCGGCTTATTGCCCATGGAGACACGAGGACAGCAAAATGCCAGCCAAGATGCTGAATTTCCTATTGCTTGGGCTTCATCACCTTCTGGTTAAGCTCTTATGCACTTCAGAGAAAAACTTGATTATCGGGTTGCGGGTCCCTCAGCTCAGCTGTGGGAGGGTCTTTTCCACTTCCACAGCTCCCTCCTGAAGCTGGGTTTTGGCTACAGAGGCAATTTGTGCTGGGCTATGCAAACAGATAAAACAACGAAACAGCAAGGCGAGAGTGAAGTCCAGTGTGGGTGTTTTTCAATCTTAAAGGCTTTGGAATTCTGTTTGCTTTTTATTTTGTTTGGCTTTTTTTTGGTCTCTCTTAGAAAAGCCTTTCACATACAATGATCTCCCAAACAATTTATTTGAAAACATTGGTGGGTGGCGCATATATTATGGGCTGTGGTTTCATTGATATGCTCAGCCTCACTAAGTAGATGGCATATTAAATGTTTTATTTACCCCGTGTGCTACCTGTCATCTAATCAGCTTTTGTTTTTGCTGCATTCTGCTTGCATTATAGCAAGAGTAAGTGGTTTCATGTAAATTAAAACCGCATGAAACCTTTTAAAGCCATTTTAAAATACTAAATGGTTTTGCAAATAGGTTTGTCGGACAAGGATTGGAAAAAGAGCTCTTTGCTTACCCGTTTACTCTTTTGTATGCTTATTAGAGGCCCCCCCATGTGACTCTTTCATCAAACATTGCATCCCAGTATTCGTCTAGGATGCCAAAAGTCATTTATACTGTGCTCAAGAGTGGTTTGCATAAACAGGAGGCAGTTAACAAAGAATACAGTTGTGAGCTGCAATTGCAAATGTTATTTTATAAATTACAACACAGATACACAATAAAGTCAAAACATGAGTCCTTATGATGTTTTCTTGCTTGCCTGGAGCATAAAAGCATGTTGGCTTAAAAATTTCTTTGTCTTTGTTAACTATTATTGTCAATGTTTATGGTTGCAATCATTTCACTCTGAATAATCTTGTTTCTTACAGGTGGATCGTATCATCTTCTGCGTCTTTTTGGAGGTTGACTTCAAAATTTTCAAGAAGAAAATGGGCGAGTTTTTCCCTCTAGGTAGGTGTAGTAATCGAGTGCCATCTGAGTGATGCAGCAAAAAGATAACAGTTGGCATCCTTTCTTCTTCCCCTGCCTATGCCAAATATTAAAATGTGAACTTTCTTTAAAGATCAGCTGCACATAGAGGCTCTGATCCTGGACAAATGCAGACATTTAGAACTTGTGAACCAGTAAAACTACTTATGATGCTGCTTTTTCAAAATCAAGGCCTGCTTTTGTATGCTCAGTACAGCTAGTTTCCTCATTCTCCGCTGTATCCATTATCTCCTCCTGAAACCTGGTGCATGGCACTGGCTTTCTTGACTCTGAGAAGAAAATGATTTGCACTAATGTATATAGCTCCTAGTGTATGTTGCTTTTCCATGCACTTTGTACATGCTTTGCTCTTTCATTAGCAATGCTGGTAGGGTTTCTCTGGGTCTGAAAAGATACCGCAGGGGTTAGAGCCCAACTGTGTCTGAATGAGAACTTTAAACTTGAGCTGTCCCTGTGCAAGAATGAATGGGAGAAAGATGGCTCTCGCTGGAGCACTTGGGAAATGTTAGGCATTCATCTTACGTTTCACACAGGAGGTTACTTTCTAGAATTTAAGAAAACCTGGTGGATAGTAAATTTGTTAATACCCCTCCTCCTGATACGCCTGTGATTTATTTTTATCATATATCATTAGAAATCTATGTTCCCTTTTTTTATCAACCCTAACCTTCTCCCATTTTATTTTGTTTTCTGTGTCATCAGTCCTATTCTATGTGACAAGATCCAGATTTTAGTATTTTGTTTTATCACCCATTTCAGAAGTGGCAGTCACTTAAATACTCCCCACACTGTCTGTCTGTCTGGTGGAAAGAGCGTTTGAGTAATAGGAAACAGAACTTTGGTGTGTTGTGTGTCTCTGTTAATTCTACAGGACTGTGTTGTCAGAGTAGCCACAGCAGTTTTTTCCTTTCGCTTTGGCTGGTAGCATGGAAGTTGTGATGTTTCTGTCTCATCTCACTAAAACAAAGCTTTTTGTAGATGACTTTGTAATCTCCAGTTTGCAATGATTGGCAGGTGAAACTTAAAGACCTATTGAATAATTCAGGTAGAATGCTGTCTAACCGCTTAATAATATTTTTGTCTGGAGCACATTGAACATGCATTTCAAAGACTGCATTCATGTCTAATCCATTCATTGTGTGATTTTATTTTTTTTGGCAGTGTACTCCAACACATAGGATACAGTGGCAGTACCCTGCCTGCTGTTGCTGGCTCTGTCCCTGCCCTTCAGATTAAATGAGAGTAGACTGCAGTGCCAATTTGTCAACAAATTAAGAGTATTAATACTCACCTTCATCGTTAGGGTCTTTGAAATCATGGATTAAAGCCTGGTATTGTTGTTACAAATGTAAAGCCCACTTGGGTTTGAAAGCGTGAGAGACAAGAAGATAACTTCAGAGCTGAAGCATGTCAAGCCCAAAGGGGAAAAGAGAGGAAGATGGGAGATTTATTTCTTTTTTGGGGTTTTCAAAACCTGATGTTGTTGAACTCCTGTCTACAGACAACCTGTGTGGTCCAGTGTCATGTTACATAAAGACTTATAATCGCATTATGCCACATTATATAGAAGATCAGTTGTACCATAGTTTTAAAAGTATGTTTATTCTCATGCAGAGAAAGTTTTTACAGGTTTTTTTTTTTTGCTTGAACTAGAACTGGGAATTTGATATGTGACCATAGAGAGGTGGTTGTGGCGGGGACCCTCTAAGGTGCAGCAAATCCAGTGGTTTGCAGGTATGTGACTATGCAAAAGGTTGATCCAATGCTTACGCAGACAGCTGCCCAGAGAAAGATGTTTGAGTTCTCAGCAGCCACAATTTGGTATAGATTGCTAAAAGATCTTAGGACCCATTTTCATAGGCTCCCCTCTGCAATTTTCTCATAACTCATGATTCTGAATACCAGTTTTGATATGCCTTAATGAGGCTGGTTTCCAGAAGGACCTGAGCACCTACTGGCTGGTGAGCTGGAGCTTTAAAAGGAACCAGTTTAGCATTTAAAACTTTATCCCTGAATCAGTGAAGGATTTCCTGTGGTTAGGTCAGCAGTCAGTGATTTGGGAGATCTGATTTTAATGTCTTTTATCACCACGGATGTTTGGTATGCCCTTATAGCAGTCACTTAGATCTTCAACTTGTGAGGAGACAGGGAGAGGCAGGAAAGATGCACGCTACCCAAATGACTCTCCATTAGTGTCCCCGGAGAAATGATCAGTATCTGGGTGTCTCTTCTGGAGGAGTGCCCTAACGATTAATATACAGTCTCAGGCTTTCTTTGCTGTCTGGAATTGGCACTTTTCCGCAGGGTACCACCACTTCAGCAGATGTCAGCTGAAGTCAGCCCCATACTAAATTGCCTATAGCCTACTGGTGACAACATCAGCTGAAGGTCTGGATGGTGATCACCAGATGACCATCACATCTGCTGTTTATTCCTTTTTTCTGGTCTCTTTTGAATTGCCATATCCGTTTAATGTATTAGACTTTGACGAGTTATCAGCAGACTCTCCTACTGTAGGGATATTCCATCTCCCTGCAGGACTGGTTTCTTGCACAGAGGACTTAGTCAACATGGCTCTGTGTCAAGGAATTAGCAACTGTCTCTACTTTTGGCAATAAATTCCTGATATTTAGACTGTGGAAGGTATTGCCAAAACTCTGGTGGTTTTGTTTTGGTTTTAAGTGAATCTATTAATGTAGTGAAATGAAAGTCTTTAAGGATAGACTTGCCCTAAATTTAAATTGATAGGACACTATATGAACACTCACAGGAGAGCATAACACTGAGCTATTACTTTAAGCTTAGAGAAAAAACATCGAGGCATTTTTAAAGTGTCTTGCATTTAGAAACATTATGAAATATATCTACTTTAATAGACGTGGGCAAAAATGCTTAGAAAGAAGAATATATTATGGAGTTCTATACATAAATAGTTATTACTTTAAACCCAGTGCATTAATAAATCCAAAAAGACATCCAAGTGCTTGAGCTAGTCAAGTGATAATGAAATGAAGCTAGAGTTACACCTCAGTGCATTAGAGTAAGTGGAATATAGACATGGGGAAATTGTTCCATTAGTTGAACATATCATTAAGCCTATTTTGTGAGTGGAATGCCAAAGAAATTAGTTGAGTAATAGTACTGATATTAAGACAACTGCCAAAAGCCTTGTCATTTGCAAACTTTAAATATATAGGGGTACGAGGCAGACTTCTAAGTAATTTCATACCTTAGGAGTGTAGCAAAGCTGTTCAGTAACACACCAGTTGTCACAGTCTCAGCATTTCGGATTTAATCTCAGTAATCAGTAGCCTGTATGGAACCCGAGCCAAAACCAGCATGCTCCAAGGGGGAGTGCCACTTAATCTTTCACTTAGACTTAGGATCTCATCCTAGTGGTTGTCCAGAAAAGCCCTGGTTTAGAAGGTAAAGGGTCCTGGTCCATGCGGAATTGTCTGTTGAACCTCTGGAGGTTTGCTGAGAAGTTTTTGTATGTCCTGGTAGAAAAAGAGCAAGGGTAGAAGACTGTTGCTGTAGAGCAACCAACCTTCTGTGCTTAAGATGGATCACCATTTTAACATATGCAGCAAAGAGTGATGGTTTTTTTCTTTTTACCAATTGAGTCCTATCTCCTAGTAGAATGAGATAGCCCAACCAGTCTCCCTTCAGCTGTGTTGGGAAATTCTCTCTGCTTAATCTGAGAGAATGTCTCGCTACATATCTTTCAGGCAAATAAAATACCGTTGCCTGCAGTTCTGGCTCAGATGTGTAGTTCCTACATCGCTGGATTCATTGCTACTACTATTATGAGTGAGCTTTCCGGTAAAGGAGCTGATACTCCTACCATTTTTTCTCTTGGAATTCATTGTTTCTTCTAACAGAATTCTACATGGATCCTAGATACGAGGCATTACTTTTATTGCTAAATATATATATATATATTTATAAGACTGACCAGGAAATGCTATAAAAACAGTCCCCCTTGAAAAGCTAGATTTAGCAACATTTACCTTACAGTGATACGTACTTCTAGAATGCTATTTGTAGGAGTAAAATTAAGAATCTTTGTAAACAGTTGCCAGCTGGAGGCAAAGATACCTTTTCTTTCCTCTCCTGTATACTGTGTATACCTAGCTACTTAATATGTCGGATAGATAATCTTGTAAGGACCTTTGGCAAATGCTTATTTTTCATAGTGGCTGTTGTATGTTATGAAAGGTTTATCTTAATTGTAATGCTTAAAGTATTTCTAAATCTACCACCTTTTATCAGTGGATTGGAGAGGGGAATCATTTTTTCTGAAAATGTTCTGTAGACAAAAATAATGTTATAAAGGGTATGTACTGTGAAGCTGCAGCATTCAAGGTTATATTACATTCTTACTACTTTAAACAGAGTAACAAAATTACTTCACTAAAGCATCGCTAAAATTGTTAGAGAGGGGACAGGTTTGCAGTTTTATTAGACCAATTGATAGATGGAAGATGCAAGCTTTCAGACTCAGTGTCCTTTCAGAGCTAATGAAAGGATGCTGAGCCCAAGAGCTTGTTCAGTTTTTTTGAGCCATATCAGTTGGTGTTAGGAAAAAGAGAGAGAAATTGCTTCATCTTGAAAAAACTTTCTCTCCCCTCTATTCCAAGTTATGACATTTAGTGCATTTTCTGCTTTTAACCTGGCTGATGAAAACACTATCCCCCCTACCCAAAGCATATGGATAAGAGCTACTGTCTTATATTAATGCTCCTGTTACTTCAGGAGGATGCACAGTATCCTAGTTGTGCATAAATGTGCAAATGTATTACAATTACAGAGGAAATTCATTGTTAAGAGATCTACCAGGCTTGGAATCAAATTGGAAACTGTCTAAATGGCTGAATGAAGGGCTTTGTATTAAAAAGGCAGATCCCTGCACTAATACGTGAGCGAACTCTTAAGCAGAGATTGTAATTTCTGTACTGGTA